ATTATCATCATCATCATCATTATCACCATAATTATCATTTTTATCATCATCATTATCATCATCATTATTATTATCACCATTATTATTATACGTTTCGTTTAAATTATTATGATTGTTGTTATTGTTTTCATCAATATTATATTATAATCATCACTATAATTGTCATCATCATCGTAAATATTATTATTACTTACTATTATCATCGTTTTTGGTATAATCAGGATGGTGAGTATCATAATTATTAACATAATTATCATTATTATCGTTATAAACATTATAATTATAATTATCATCATCATTTGTATTATCATCAACAATATTATCATCACCATCATCATTATCATTATTATTATTATTATTATCGACATCATAATCATCTTTATCGTTATTCTTAATAACATTAACTTTATCATCATTATTACCCTTACATTATTGTCATCATTATCATAATTAACATTATTATTATCATTATCATTTTCATTCTTATTACTAACATCATCCTTAAAATCATTATTATTATCGACTTACCGATGTCGTTATCTTTATGATCATTATCAGCATCGTCATTATATCGTTACCCTCATCATTGTTATAATCATCATCATTAATAATATTCCCATTTTCATTCTGACTATTATTATTATTGTCATCGTGAACCTTATTATTATTATAATTATAATTATTATCATCATCATTGTTATGTCATCATTAATCGTTATCCATATTATTATTCTAGTTATTTTCATTATTATTATTAGTGTTATCATCGTCATGATTATTAATATTATCATCATCATCATCGTCATCATCATTATTATTATTATTATCACTATCATCATCATCATTATCGTCATCATCATTATCATCATCTATCATCGTCATGATTATTATAATTATCATATTTATAATCGTTATTTTTATTATCATTGTAGTCTTTGTTATCATTTTTGTCATTATCGACGTCTTTTCAATCTTTACCATCGTTATTATTATAACTATCAATCTTTTTATCAATTTCATTATTTTTATTATCATCAGTATTATTATCAACATCGTCGTCATCATCATCATTATCATTATCGACATTCTCATTATCATAATCATTTTTTTTAATATTATTATAATCTTCATAATCATTATTATTATAATCATCATTATCATTGACATCATAATTATCATCATTAACATCATCATCATCATCATCATCATCATCATCATTATTATCGACATTAACATCATCATTAACGTCATCATGGTCATCACCGTTATCATCAACACCATCATTATCATCATCATTAACATCATCAATATTATCATCATCATCATTATCATCATCATCATCATTATCATCATCATGATCATTATCATCATCATCGTCATCATCGTCATCATCGTCATTATCAACACCATCATCATCGTCATCATCATCATCATCGTCATTATCATCATCAATGTCATCATCATCATTATTGTCGTTATCGTTATCATTATCAACATCATCAGCATCATTATCATCATCATTATCACTAATATTATCATCATTATCAT